TGTTAATGCTGAACACCGAGCACTGTGAAATAAGCGGTATAATTTAGAGATTTCACATTGATTGTATAATGGCAAATCATAAGTCTAAATATAACTTGTTACATCTCTTTCCATTTATAATACCACTAGTTTGTTTTCAAGGCATACTCTGCGAGCCAAAGCCCCATCTAAGAGGTTGGAGGAGATGATGCAGTGAATTACTGTTACGGGACACTATGGTTTAGATATCTTTTCAATGGACAGTGATCTTCCTATGCAAAAATGTGTTTTCAACAGTGTAAACGAAAGGGAAGTGGGTGTTAGGAAATTCAGTCCAATCTGTCACGATATTCTAGCAAGCAGGTATGAACAAGCTAACACGTAAACCCTCCAGGTTCTGCAAATTCAGAAGTGCGGTATGAAATTGCAAATTTTTCAGTGTGTGTAGTGTTCAAGATTCTTATTTTTCAAACTAATCTGGCATTTCCATCATATCGTTTCACACACACACAAGTCGCTTGAATTCAGTTACTCAGCGGAATGTTAATCCTTTGATGTGCCATGAAGTTTTGCTGCTGTTGATCATCACCCTCGTTTCCCTGGCCTCATTCTTTGTAAACAAGACCTCGCAGTTCCATTATTTAATATTATGATTAAGATAAATACGATTTTATAGGATCAATGCTGTATTAAAATCTGAAAAGATCTGAATTAAGTATCGTACAAGTGCTAAATGTATAATAACAGATTAATAACTCAAGATTAACCAGAGCAGACAGAAAGATCTGAGGCAGTCAGACTTGACTTCAAGCACTTCAAGCTGATGGGGTAACTATTTGTGTTTATACATAGGAATATTTAAGTGCACAAAGCAATTGTAATAATATCCCTACCTAACAGGTGGAGAAGCTGAAATGTGGGATTTCAGTGACATGCTCAGTAAGCCGCTCCTGCCAGAGCCACCGGAGGATCTCGGTTGCAGCAAGCTTCATCTGAGCCTCCAGATGTTCCAGCAGCATCGCTGGGCACAGCAGCCGCTGGTGACGCCCGGCAAGATCACGTAACAGACTGCACCGACACGCGAATGAAGGATTCAGTTGAATCTGCAAGGAAGAGTTGTTAGAGGACTGTTATTAACTACCACGTAGAAACTTCACCATGAAAGATGCTGAGCTAGTATCTCCTATAGCTCCTAACACCTATAGGAACAATTAGTACTAGGAAGGACATCTGTAGGCTATTATGGCAAATTTGAAAGCCTGCAGAAATACCGTGTCCAGCAAAACGGTACTTTTTCCAGCTACCAAAACTCCCTTGAACTTAAACTTATTTTTGAAATATAAAATACCTGTAGCAGTGAGATCAAGTTAACCTGTTATATTTTAGCATTCCTCCCCCACCCAAAAACGTTACTTTGATCAAACTTCTGCAGCTTGTTTTATCTCAAGATCCCAATCAATATATTTTTATTATTAATAAAAAATGCATTAAGTTGTTCTAGTGACATGCCAAACCACCGATTTCAGTGAGTCCTTTAGTCTTGCCAGAACTTAGATTTATAGAATGAAAACGTACTAGGTAAATAATTAATATATTTTTCCTCATAAATGAACATAATTCAGTAATAGAAAATTATTTTAAAAGTCTATTAAAAAAAAAGCTTCTAAATGAAGATTATGTATTCCGCTTCTTCAGCACAGACAGACAAATAGTCACATATGTGGTCTGGATAGTAGTTATCAAAAACTGAACCACCTCTAACATCAGAAATTCCTTTCCCCAGCTGGATTTGGAGCCCAGACTTGATGACAGGCTGCATAGGAGATGTGCTGAAAGCGGAATCCATACCCTACAAAGACTGTGCCACCCTTGGAACAGCTACATGTTTTTGAGCTTTGGGTCACCAGTTCATGAGCTTTTTTTGCAAGTTCATGCAGAGCCCAACAGACAAGAGATTTAGCCTCATGTTTATCAATTGAGTTAGCAACTATATGTAAAACTGCATAACATCTGTGGTGTTAAAAAAAATCTTTACATATTATTTTCTCCCTCCTCCTCTTTCCCGTAATATAATAAGCTCCTTTTGCAGTCCCTCTGCTGGTACCAGCTGAAAAGAAAGCAAACTAAGGGAAATCTTCAAGTAGAAAAATTAAAAAAAACCCCAAAACCCAAACTTTTAAAGCTCACAAATCTTTACTTACATATAAATAATCAATCAGAATTGCTTAAAAGCCCCCATTGCCCCCAAACTCTCCTGACCTTGATGGCAGGCATACATCTCCACAGTATCACTTTCAGAAATGAAAGCCCGTAATGTTTTATTTCTTTAGCTCAACAAGAATCCTTTTGCATTTTGGCATGAGAGAGTTGTGAAGGTAGTCATGCCAGATATTTTCTAATTTTCTCAGACAATGAGGAGAGGAAAGGGGAGAGTCAGAAAAGCAGAATTCCTTCCTGCTTTCCCCTTTCTCTCCCCCACAGATAGCTAGGCACCATAAAAATCCCTATTTGTGTATTATGCAACCCTCACAGAACGAAACACAGGACGAGACAGGAGACCCCCTCTGAAGTGCCAGGCCGTCAGCATCCAGCAGGAGCAGCCCTTCAAGTTATTTTGATTTAGGAGCTGAGGGTAACTCAGGTTCTACAGGATTAGACCTTTAATTAGATCTCTTCATTTGCTGCAACACCAAATCCACATGCAATCGTTGCACATCAGCCAGCAGCAGCCAGCTACTTGACAAGAGTACTAAATGCTAGAGACTATTTTACTTGGCCTACAACGCTTTAAAGGGCAGGAAATGTTACCTGAGCCTCTGAGGGCAGCTTGTGCTATTCAAAGGGCAATTTGCACAGCTGGAAATTTTAATCTGTGCTATGCAATATTTGCTTGCGTATGGGAGAAATTCATCCTTTGGACCTTGACATGCCTATTAAGATTAAAATAAGAATACTGACTTCTGAGCTACACAGGTTGTCATGTCTTTTTTTTTTTTTTTCTCTCCAGAGTGAAGTATTTTTAACTTTGAATGCGTTTAAAGACTAAACTAAAAAGGGAAATCAAGGATCTCAGATTTCTCTCCATTTGAGAAGCTGTGCAAATAAAAAGAGATTGCCCAAACCTCCATCTGTGACCCTAACAAGCTTTCTAGTATATTATCACATTACTTACTCGCTGTCAAACAAAATACTTTCAGGCAGATATGCTTGAACCCAAAGGAGCCTCACTCTCCAACAATTAACAAATGCTTAATGGAAAGATGAACCCATCAATAGGGAAAATAAGCATTTTATGGTCCAGGTTCTTCTGTCCTTACTGGCACACATAATTCTATTAATTTAATTCAAGTCTCCCTAGTGGTCAGGTTTTTAAAATCATTCAGTATCCAGCCATATGTACAGAGAAGAGAAAAGGGGACCATAGGAAGTAGAGCCACACGGGCCTGACAAAAAGGAGGAAACTATAATTTGATTACAATTACCAAAAAAAAAAAATCCAAAATAAACAGGAATTTCACATAACTTTGTTCACAAGCAGAAGCAAAGAAACTGTCTTTAAAAAATGGCAGCCATATCTGGCCCTGAGTATAGACTAGGTAACTTGCAACATCTCTTCCCACTTTACATGAAAAGAGATAGAGAGCCCGGCGTGCTGCTTTGACCGCCTGTAGAGAGCAAATTGCCATCAAAAATGCACTAATGTCAGCTCTCTGCAACAGAAGAAAGGACCCAGACCTAATACTTGGAGCAGATCTGGCCTACTGCCTCAATTAGATACATTTTTCTCCTTGCTCTTATTATCCAAAAGAAAATTGCTCTCATCAGAATTTATTTAGGATGTAGTGGTGTGGTACGACTGAGCCAATCTGCTGGCTTGCCTCCTACTCAAAAAAGGGAAGCCCAAAGGCAGCTCTCCAGTTCTGGCCACGCACTTCTGCTCCCTCCTTCATTCAGCTCTTGCACTAGTCACACAGCAAGACAATTCAACTCCATAATCCCGCTGCAAATTAGCCCAGTAGGGAGTTTTCTTCTGAGTTAGCAAGTTGAATTACTGGCTGCTCAGCCAGGCAAGCAGCAGACCTGGCACAGGGCGCCGCACCACGTGGCCACGGAGGGCACTGGGAAGGCAGGGCACGGAGGAACGAGCCTCCTCCCCTCAGCGGCAGCAAACTGGGACATTGGTTCGCCCGTACCACCTATCCGCACCCTCCTTGATTTGAATGGGAATTGAGGATTTTCCTG